TCTAATACTATGTCTTCCAATGAAATCAATTCACGTGTTCAGCAATTCTTATTAAATTAAACACAACTTTTAGGATATATTTTCCGACGAAAAACACTACAAGAAAATCGATTATTTCTGGTTTTTTTCTATCTCTTTTGTTGTCAAAGCATTTAATGAATTTTATTTTTAGATTTCACTTCAGGTGTGACAACACGATAATCACTAGAAGTGAGGATAGAGTTAAAGCCCATTTAGAAATTCAATCTCAATGTTTTTGATACTAAAGGTGATGGCTTTAGCCAATTCTACTTGATAACAATAGAATAATCATATCTGTTAATCTTGTTTTTCAATTATATAGTAAATGAGCATAATTTCATAATCTGAAAATATTTATCTATATCGTTTAACATTAAATCCAATTTCGGCTAAGGTTAAGGACTTGTTTGGCATTTGGATATTTTCACATTCACCCAGAATGCATGCGATTTGCTTATAATATAATTTGTTTAACTTCACAACAATTTGTGATTTATTTTTATTATAATTAGATTTATAAGCGATTAAATTCAAACGAATCCAAACATATAAAATCTTTACAGAAAAAAAGTTATTTCATCGCAATATAGCAATAAACTGAAAATTTTATGACCAAATAATTCACAACACACTCGTGTATATTCACAATAATCACATTTCGCAAAGCTATCATGAATTCAGTGCCAATAATAATGCGAAATTGAAAGCATTTACAGTAAAACGATTTACGGTAAAAACTATTAGACAAATAGTTTGTGGCAAACAATACCTTTTCAAACTCGTTGAACTCGACCTGACGTCTAAGTGTCTCCAAATAGTTGAGAGCATTGATGTAATTAAGAGTATAGCGATGGTAGGCCTGTGTCAGGGAAGTGGCTTTCGAGCTCTGCGTTGCAATCATATATACAATCATTATTATATTGATTGAGAAGTGAATTTGTTTTTTGTTTTCAGAGAAATACAACAAATAAAAATCACAACAAATATATATCGGATTGATTTATCGAGTCATACGAGGCGTGCATTAGTTGTAAATGTCTTTTATGTGAATTTAGCGAAGAGTAGAGTTAATCGGATTATATGTACAAACCTTTTGGAAAAGTCGAACTAAAATATCTGTGGGATTGACTTCTGTACTGGTGTTCACGTATTGGAGGATAACATTGAGAAACTCTTTACAGAAGGCATAAGTGACACAACAGAGTTCGTCCAAATTGCCGAACAGCACTTCCG